ATTGATGTGGACAGATTATATTTACCATGAAAAATTGGAGACCATGGATTACTGCAAATACAGCAGATAGTAGAGGAGGTAAAAAAGAAGCTTAGATGATTATATCAGTACCAGAGAAATTTAAGGTGATGAAAATGGAGAATATTTTTAAAACAACAAACAAAGGCTCAATAAGAAATAACAATTTGAAAATAAATTAAACAGCTGGAAAAATAAACCATGGACAACACCTGAGAAATATTGATGGAAAGCATGATAATAATTCAACATGGGCATGGCTAAAATTGGGGACCTTTAAGAAAGAAACCAAAGGTTTGATTTTTGCTGCACAAGAACAAGCTCTCCAAACCAACGTGATGAAAGCTAAGATGCAAGGAATTAGTGCTAACAGTAAATGTCGACTCTGCCAAGAAAAATATGAAACTGTGTCATACCTCATCTGTGAATGTCCAAAGATTGCACAAACAGATTACAAAATCAGACATGATAGAGTGGCAAAACTATGCACTGGTCATTAGGCAAAAAATATAACTTGCCAGTCTTCAGAAACCCATGGGAACATTAGGTAGAGAAGGTGTCAGAAAATGAGGAAGTCAAGATCTTGTGGGATCCAAACTGATAAGACACCTTAAACATAACACTCCAGACAGAAGGAAGATATGTCTGGATCATTGACATTGCAATTCCTGGCGATGCTCAAGTTGAAAACAATTAGAAAAACTAACAAAATACAGAGATCCTGCAAGATGAAAAACACTTCAGTTGTCCTTATAGTCATTGTGGCTTTGGGAACAATGCCAGAAAAATTCACACAGCATCATAAGCAGTTGCAGATCTCAGAAATCACAACATCAGAGCTACAAAAACCAGCAATATTAGGAACAGCATATGTACTGTGCTGATATTTAACAGATACTTAGGTTTTTGGTTAAAACTTGTACAGTCGTGCCCCGCTTTACGATTGCCCCGCATTACGACAAAACCACATTACGACGACGTTTTTGTGATCGCTTTTGCAATCACAAAACGATGGTCTGAATAGGCTTTTTTCAGTTTTCGCTTTGTGACAGCAGATCGGCGGTTTCAAAATGGCCGCCGGGTAAATAAAATGGCTCCCCACTGTTTTCTGGGACGGATTCCTCGCAAGACAGCCACCGAAAATGGCCACCCTATGGAGGATCTTTGCTGGACGGTGAGTTTTTAGCCCATTGGAACGCATTAAATGGGTTTTAATGCGTTTCAATGGGTTTTTATTTTCGCATTGCAACGTTTTCATTCTACAGCGATTTCGCTGGAATGAATTAATGTCGTAATGTGAGGCACCACTGTATCTGCTATATGATACCAGTCAATGTTTTTATAGTTTTGATTGTACCTGGTGTTTCTGAAGAAGAGCAGCTTCACACATGTCTGAATTAATATACAGTGGTGCCTCGCTTAGCGATCGCTCCGTTGAGCGACGAAATCACTTAGCAATGGGGTTTAAGCGATCACAAAAGCGATCGCTTAGCGATGGTCCCTATGGGGAAAATTCACTTTGCGAAGATCACAGGGAAGCGATCACTGCAACGCCCCCATTTTCGGCCAGCTGATCGGCGGTTTCAAAATGGCCGCTGGTAAAACAAAATGGCTGCCTGCTGTGTTGCCTCGCTTTAGAGGAACCGGAAATGGCCGCCCCTATGGAGGATTTTCGTTTAAGGTTAGTTTTAAAGCCCATAGGAACACATTAATGGTGTTTTAATGCGCTTCTATGGGCTTTTTAAATCCGTTTAGCGATGAAATCGCTTAGCAACGTTTTTTCCTGCACAGATTAACGTCGCTAAGCGAGGCACCACTATATTAAAATGTATGAGCAAATTAAACTTGCACTCTGCAGATATGTATAGCTATTGGCTGCTAAGGGATGGCTCATCCAAACCCAACACTGAACGGACAACCAAATTTTACTGCCTAACATCCAACTTGTGTGTGGTTTCTTTTGATCTGTGCTGGTTTCCTGCCCTCTGTTAAAAGATTTTAAATATGCCTCACATTTGACCATAATGTCCTGAAGTTTTCTTTTAGAACTTCTTTAGTAATCATTATTTCTTAGCCTGTTGTATGCCACCCTTCAGCTTTGCCTGGGTGGCATGGGATATCTTAAACATTTGGATATTATTTATTTGAAAAATTTATAAGTCATGCCTTTGTCCAAAGAAAATTTCTGGGTGGTCTCCACAGAAGTCAGATATGCACTACAATGAAAAACTAAATATAGTAAAATTAGGAGGCATACAGAATTCAAGCAGCTAATGACACACATCTAATATATAAAATGTCAGGGTAAAGAAAAGGTCTTAACCTGGCACAGGAGACAGCATAACATTGGGCCAGTTGTATCTCCCAAAGGAGGATTCCAAGGTCAGGGCACCTCCAGCGAGATGGATCCTTCGATTTGTAGATTATAAATGTCTTCGGTATATAGACTACAGAGAAAGGTATTGGGAAGACAGCTAACTCAGCAAAACTGCCTGCAATTTCTTGACACTTCTCCACATGTGCCACATCTAAAAGGCCTGAAGCAATGCTGCACGGTGATACAGTGCACAAGATAACCAGCCCCAGAGATAACATCTGAATAAATCACTTTCCAACAATAGCAACAAAAACAGTTTGGGTTGCTAATAGAGATCGGGGTATTCGTATACGAATATCCCCACACAGCTGGACTTAACAAAGGTCTAGCCCCTGGGGCCAGACTGTCCACTCACGCATCCGCTGGTGGCCCCACTCATCCTTCCAATTGCTCCCTGAGTGTCACTTTCTTCCCGCTTGCCTGGCCACTCAGCAGCAGTGCAAGGAGACACGTCCTCCCTCGCCCTGCCTGGAGTGGCTAGCCGAGTGGGAGGAGAGTGGCGTTCCGGGAGCAATTGGAAGGATGAGTGGGGCCACTGGCAGTAGATGTGTGATTGGAAGGGCCAGCCCCAAGGGCCGGACCCTTGTTAACTCCAGCTGTGCGGGGATATATGTATTCATATACGAATACCCCCATCTCTAGTTGCTGAAGCTAAAACAATAAACAGAATAAGCTGCAAATGACAGTTTGATCCTGAACATGCAGGTTAAAAGGAATACATAATTGTTAGCATCCTTCCCTGAGAAAGTTTTAATAAAAAATAAAATACAATTCAGTTGTTTCACATGGGCAGACTGTTAATCAGAGCTATATGCACAAATGCCAGAGGCACAGATGATGCACAAAGGGCAATACAGCAGAGAAGGTGGAGAGATAAAGTAGACATTAAAGATTAGCTTCACTCAGATTCCATGTGCGAAAATTATTACACATTTAATAATGTTGGATACACTCTAGTCCCATTAACTTTTCCCTACCTATATTTTTGATATGCATGGCCAAATGAGGACAGCATAGATACTACTGCGAAGCTACAAGGGACATCATTATACTGTTGAGATATTAACAATCTTGCATGCTTTGTAACACTGGGTATCGGGGGAGGGAGGTTTGTAGAACCTAAATGGTTTATCTCCTTTCCCACTGACTAACTGGTTGATAAAGGTTTTTTTTCCTGCTTTTGGTGTGCCCCTCCTTTCTTCCTGTTTGTTTACTTCATTTCCTTTTGCTTTGCTAGTCTCTCTCCACTTCTGATCTCTAACTATGCACAAGCATGGAGGGCCTGTCTCCTACATGGTTGAGACTCACATTGTTTTTTCTTTTTATCCTTCTGGCTGAAACCACAGATCGCAACTGTAAGTAAACATACCGTTTCTACTTGAAATGTTTATAGAGTGATTTTACACCAACAAACTTCTAATCTGTGTATGCTCAAATGTACAAGGTACTGATAAGACTGGACTGTTTCTTACTTTGCTAACTAAAAGAGAATTAACCAAATTCTCCAAGATATACAGGATACCAGAAAAGAAACCGGGAGGTACATTTTGATCATGTAGTGCAATCATGGATTTTCAGCGGTGTCTTATAACATTTAAAGGAGCAAGAAAACCTTTGCAGCTGGAGGAACCAGCTATCCTCATAACAAATGAAGTTTTAGATTCCAAATTTGTTCCTCTCATTGGGAGCCCCAATCTGTAACTATCCTGCTGTGGCTTTTGAAAAAGACAGGTTGAAGAAATAATCATTTGCTACCATCATATCATTCTAAACATTCTGATTTTGAAAGCAAAGCAGGGTTAGGCCTAGTTAATACTTTAACAGGAGACCATCAGGTAATACCAGGAATATTCTGGCCACGCTAGAAGAAGAATCCTGACTGAAGTTTGAGGCAGCTACTGCTGGTTAGACTGGGTTAGATGGATCCATTGTCAGATCAAGTAGAAGGCAGCTTCATGTGTTCCTACGATAGCCATATGGAAGACAGCTATACGATGAGACTTAGACCTGCTAAAAACCTGCAGGATGAGCAGATGTAGCTGGATGTCAGAACGAAAGGCTAAAGGCAAGTCAGAGCCACAGAGAAAATAAATCCAGGTAATTATTGCTGAACACAATCCTCTTGGAAGCAGGTCAGATGCAAGAAACAAAAACAGGAACAATGTAAGAACAAAATTTAAGAAAGTATTTGTAGGCTTAGTACACAATATGGAAATGTCCACCTGTTTGAAGAGAAAACAAAAGAAAATAACCTGGCAACAAATAAAATATTCAGATTTTATTTTGTATTAATAAAAGGAAAATAGATACAAAACATGACTTGAGCAGCTTTTATGAAGGTCACTCTGGATTAGTTTTTTATTATTTTGCTGATCAATAAGAATCACATAAAAATTTATAAAATATTAGTTTAATTTTTTAATTTAAAAAAATCTATATAAATAAAAAGGCTTGATCTGGAAGATCACGAACATAGTGTCTGCAGATGAAGGAGTTCATCCAAACTCAACAGAACATTGTTGTCTTGCGCTTTATATTATATTAACATAAGCAGCATAATTTTGTTGTTACTTTCTTTTTTTAAAAAGTTAATAATTTTTTAAAAAAATAACGTGAGCAGCTTTGCAGAGCATGGCACAGAACTGGGGAGTCAATATCTCTCTCACCTCTATCTTATCCAGTCCCTGAATGAATTACAAAAGAAGGGTTGGAAGAGCAACACGGAAGGCACACGGTGGATCTCCCATTCTCTGCAGCACCTGCACAAGTGGCATGTGTTGTACCCTTATGATTTTGCTGAGTGAGGACCGGAAAAAAAGGAAAAAAAATCGGTTTCAGTCCAGGGGACTTTCCACCATCGGCCTTCACCCAACCTGATCAAGCCAAACAATTTATTTCTTACTTATTTAAGAAAAAAGCATTTAGATGAGCAGTAAGGCCATTTAATGAGTTTTAGTTCGTAGTAACATAATTTGCAGGGAAAATGCCGGTCTTGCCTCCTAAATGTCCTTCCCACCAGTCAAACTGTGAATCTGTTTTCATTGTGACCTGGATTTTATCTCCAGCGTTGAAGGTCAAGTCACCCGGCTGCTGCCCTTCAAAGGGATACAATGCTGTCACTATAGTGGGACTGGTCTTGGTGTTTCCTGGAATGAAAAACAATTTCAATGCAAAATTTCAGCGTTACACTTCATTATGAAAGGTAAATTGCACCTGCAGCCTACATGCCTGTATAAAAGCTAGAGGCCTCTGAAGAGTTGGCATTTCTCTGGTCAGAAATGTGAGTCAGACATTCTGCAGAATCTTCCACAGTACTAACACACACTGCACAAAACAAAGCACAAACAGAGAGGGGGTGGAAAAGAAGGCCCACTTACATTTTTGGTACGGTTGTCTATTTGAGAATGACAGCTACTGGACTGGGTCTGTTTCTTTCATTTGCTGCTTAAGGGCTAGAACGGAACATTAAATGAGATGGACCGGAGGATTAAGACCTACCCCTCTCCCCTGAATCTGGCAACATTTGAATATCTTTTCAACAAAATGATTCCAACGCTTCATATCATGCATGGCTCAGAAAAATTCAGCTCAACTGCAGCTCCCATCATTGCCTTCCACTGGCTGTGCTGGCTTGAGCTGATGGGAGCTGCAGGGCAACCACATCGAGAGAGACACCCTTTGCCCAGATTGTCATGAGGACTGAACAGTAAGTAGACACACTAGAGTTTGCAGAACAGAAGAATAGCTGCATCTCCTGAAAAGGACAAAAGCTGATCTCACAGCCATAAATACTCCACTCCCAAGCCAACTGCACCAGAGCACAGAGTGCTGTCCTCTGAAGATGTCGGCCATAGAGACTGGCGAAATGTTAGGAAGAACAACCTTCAGAACACGGCCAAAGAGCCCGAAAAAACCCACAACAACCATTTTCATATCTTGCAGGAGGCCAGATATGACTTAACCCGTGACACTTCCCCAAGCCCTTACAAGTAGTTTCCCTTACTTTAAAAGTTTGGGGAAATACTGCTCTCCAAATGTTGTTGGACTGCATCTCCCATCAGGCCTAACCGCTAGAGCTTGTGGTGAAGAAATCTGGGTAAGTGAAGTCCAACAACATCCAGAGGCTCACACTTCACCCGCTCCACTTTAATCAATAGCAAGACAGTGAAATCACAAGGAAGGCAAAAAACTAGGTCAGAACGGCAGCAAAAAGGAATCCAGGTATTTACCATGGATAGAGGTAAAGCAGCAGAAGCAACTACTTCTGCAGCTGCAGCCCCACATGGGGTAAATAAGAACAAGGCATTTTTTTAAAGTGACATGGATTACAACAGCTATGGGTTTTCAAAACAGTGTTCTCAGCACACCTACAGAATCAACGGAAAATGGGAATCATTCGTTTACTTTGGGAATATCTGAAGATTAGCTAGCACAATGCAAGACTAGGTAAACATTGTGTACGTTGTTCTGCTTTAACTTTATTTGGATTTGAAAAATACCAACAAAAACATTCAGCTCACACAAGATGGTGCTACAGTGCTGTATTCCATAAAACACTATCTGTGCTATTGAACCCTGTTGATCTTTTAACACGAAACACAGAGACCAAGTAGGTTATGATTATCTTGATTAGAAAGCGGATGTTTTTGTCACACAATACTATTTAGAACAGTTGAAGAAGCTTGCTACCAAAATTGTTTTGCTCAAAAGCAGAAAAAAATGCCTTTGAGTAAGTAAAGCCTACTTTTACTAAGGATGCTGGCTCACATGCTAGATCTAAGATGGCCAGCCCTTTGGGCCTACAGTTCCTCTGGCTTAGTTTTATAGAAGAGGAAATTCCTGCAGGTTCAGGATGTTACGTAAGACCACTGATTGGTATCTCTGTGTGTGCACATGTGCGTACACCCATATGTGGGGAAAAGGGTCATTTCCCAAGTATTCACTGAGAGCTATTTTAAGCATGCTTTGAAGAAAGCTGATCAGTGGATTGGATGGGGGATATATAAAGAGCCTCCCCTAAAAGTGGAAAAGCATCACAAGTATTGTCAAGTGTGCCCTAGACCAGTGTTCCCCAACCTTGGGCCTCCAGATGTTCTTGGACTACAACTCCCAGAAGCTTTCACCACCACTTTTGCTGGCCAGGATTTCTAGGAGTTGAAGTCCAAGAACATCTGGAGGCCCAAGGTTGGGGACCACTGCCCTAGAGAATGGGGTGCAGCCAGCCAATCCTTCACTTCCAGAAGTGTTGCACTTTAATCTTGCTGATAAGCAAAATGACCCAATTTCTTTTAGGACTCCATATGGCAATAATTTCTATTAATATAGAGGGTATCTCTTCATCTAAAAAGGAACTCCTATCTTTGCTTTGCTGGAAACAGAAATGTGACATCCTTTGTGTCCAAGAAACTCACAGAGGAACTAATCAGCATTAACCAGACATTTCTGGGATGTGTCTATCTGTTAAGAAGCCCCACAACCAATACAGAAGTGTCATTTTGTAAGATTAGGTATTGTAGTCCACTCAACAGATTTTACTGAAGAGAACAACATAGAAATCTTGATGGTTGAACTGGCTGTGTGTATAACTACACTGATTTATAAACCACACAATATATCATTCTGCTTTACAATGCCATCTAATACGGAAAAACAAAACGCTCACTTACTAGTTGGAGATTTCAACAGTCATAGTAACATTTGGGGCTATGAACATGATGATGAAAATGGCAATGCCACTGTAAAATGGGCAGAATCTTATTCAGTGTGCTGTATACATGATCCTAAACTTCACAATTTATTTAACAGTGAGTGGTAAGTGGCAGAGAGATTACAAACCAGATCTGATTTGTAGAGCTACACTCGACAAATCAGATCTACACTCTGATTTGTAGAGCCCAACCGTGCCTTAAGAGTGTAGCTGATCCAGTCCCAAACATTCAGCACAGACCCATTTGATGACAGATCCACCCAGTCATCCAACCTCGATCTTATACCATTCCATAGGAGGTATGATTTCAAAAAAGCTAACTGGGAAAAGTGTACAACAACAGTAGATGCAGCTGTGCTTCAGAGTGCCCCTCAACCAGAGAACCTGGATCAATTTGTAGCTTCCATTCTGGAATGTCCTCGGGCCTCCATTTCAAGAGGATGCCAGGCCAACTACATCCCACGTTTCACTCTGGAAACATATGCCCAATACCTCGATGATATTTCACACTTGGAAGAAAATTCTTGTAGTGAACATACAGTAAAAGCAGAGAGAAATCTGATTGCAACTCTTGCAGAAACAAAAAGAACTCATTGGATAGGCACCAGGGCAGAGCCTGACATGACAAGAAACTTGGGAAGTTACTGAAAAAAATGAAGAATGATCCAAACAAAAGGACACTGGATGCAAAGGTAACCCTAAACAAAGAGCACACCAACTCTTTCTGGCAGGGAAGACCAACCAGTACATAATAAAAACAAAATATCAAAGAGATATTCCGAGTGAACCCAATGAACTTTTTTACTGCCTTCATATTGGTAGAACTAGAGGAAGCCAGAAGAATATGTAGGAATGGCAAAGTGGTGGGACTCGATGACATCCACATCAAGCAAATAAAATGTTTTGGGAAAAGCACAAAGGAATGGCTCCCTCAACTCTAATAACTGCTAGACGAGCAAACAAATTCCAAAAATATAGCGGAATATAAAAGGAATTGCGATACTGAAACCAGGCAAAGAAATGTCAGACCCCAAAAGCTACAGGCCAATCTCTCTACTATGCCACTTATACAAAGTGTTTGAATGCATTATAAAATTGAGCCTCTTCTAATTCCAGAAGACCTGGCAAGGTTGTATGGCTCAAATCTTAAATCTAACCCAGCATATAGAAGATGGTTTGAAATACATAAAGTAACTGGAACAGCATTTATCAACCTTATAGAGAGCTATGATACTGCTGCTGAAAAAGCTCTACCTTCTTACTAAAGATCCCAGACTAACAGAAACGGTCACCCTTCTACTTCAAAACTGAAAATCCTTTCTTGGATTTCAAGAGAGGCACAGCTGCTGGAGAAACCGAAGGAACAGTCTTCCATAGGGCAGCATCCTGGCATCATTACTTTTCAACATTTAGACAAATGATCAACCAACATTCTCGTACTCCAGGAGTTTCTTCTGTGCTGATGATCTTGCCTTGAACCTCGAGGGGGAAACCCTTGAGGCCATTGTTCACCATGTAACCTCTGCATTAGAAGATATTTCCTTATTTTATAAAAACAGACAGTTGGAACCAAACCCTTTAAAGACTCAGGTCTGTGCCTTCCACTTCAAGAACAGAGGGGAAGCTCTGAATGAGTGGAGAAACCAAAATTTTAGAACACTGCCCTACCACAAAGTATTTGGGCATCATTCTGGATTGAACTCTGACTTAAAGAAAACATTATCTAAAAACCTAACAGAAAGATGCCACCATAAATAACATACTTAGGAAACTGGCTGGGTCAGACTGGGGTGCACACCCACAAACAATAAGAAGAACAGCTTGGACCTTGTGCTGCTCCACAACAGAATGTGCGAGTGCCGAATGGTATAAATCAGCAAATGCCAAAGAAGTCAATGTAGATCTTTCTTCTTCCTCTTCCTCTTCCTCTTTTTATTTTTATTTTTATTTCGTTTTATTTATATCCCGCCTATATAAATCATGCAGGAGTGTTACTGGCTTCCTCAACACTACCCCCACTGAAAAAGTCCCTTATCTGGCTGGCATTGCCTCTCCAGAAGTACGTATGTCAAGAGTACTAGCAAAATAATGAAGAAAATATGGTAATAGAGCACCTATCCGCTTCATGGACACCAGCCCCCCTAGAAGACAGTTAAAACCAAGAAAAAGTTTTCTGAACACATCTCAAGGTCTAAATATTAAACCAGAAGAGGCGAGGCTAAGCCTACGGAGAACAAAAACAATACACCTTGCCAAGTGGATGAATGCTGAAGAGTGTCTCCCACCAGGACAAGATTCCAGCTTAGTGTTTCTCAACCTGGGGGCCATTCTGGATTGAACCCTTCTCTCCCCCCCAACTGGGTTGCAAAGTGTTTTCTGGGAGGTTGTGGGTCTCCTTATATGTGTTGTAGATATTGTTAAATAATTTCAGAATGGAAT